ACGTCCCTGGCACCCGGCTGTCACCACGGGACGTGTCGCCCTCTTGGGGCTGCGGTTGAAGCCTGGCTCTGGGCAGCTCTGCAGCGTGGGGGGATCACGTGTCCCTGCTGTCCCCGCCTGTGTCCCATGGCCTCCTGTGGCTCCCAAGCCCTCCCTCGGGCAGGGGGGATGTCCTGTAGATGGTGACCCCGTGCAGGCTGTCCCCAAAGAGATGTGTCCCCAGCAGCGGGTCTCACATGCACCATCCTGCCCTCCTGTGGGATCAGGACCATGTCCCCAGAGCCACGTGTCATCAGGTCCATGTCGTGCTGTCCCTTCCTCCCATGAGAGAAAGGTCATGTCCTAGTACCCTGTGCCACCAGGACTGTGTCCTTCCCATGGAGCAGGGAGGTGTCCCCAGTGCCACTGGGGCCATGTCCCATGGGCACCATCCATTCCTCCCGTGGGAGCAGGGACACCAGGGCACCACCCTGGGGATGCCCCTCGCTCCGATGGCCCCGGCCCAGGCTCGGACGGCAGCTGCAGCCCTCAGCGCGAGCGGGAGGCTCCGTGGGGCGTCCGGGACGCGTGGGATGGGGTGGGCAGCAGCGTCGCAGCCACCCCCTGTGCCCGGAGTGAGTCCTGGGGGCAGCGGTGGCGGGAGGCAGCGCGGCGGGACGCGGCTGCGGGGGGTGAGGACACGCAGCCTCGCGGAGGAGACGGCGCCTGCCGCGCTGCCGAGAGCAGCAACACGTTGGGCTGGCCCCGAGTGTGGGGTCACCGTGTGCCACCAGCTGCAGGGCGAGGAGAGCGGGTGACGGAGCGGCGGGAGTTGCTCCCTGCTGGGCCCGAGCCCTCGTGGTCCTCCTGGGGCACCCATCCCTTCTGGGGCCTTGTCGCCATCCCTCCTGCCCCAGCTCTGGTGAAGGCACCCGGGGGCCCTCGTCGCTGCCCCGTGCTGACGCGTCCCTGTCGCTCCCGCGGGTTCTCCGCACCCCTACAGGCTGCAGAGCCGGGGGAGGACGCTCCCGGGATGGAGGCCGGGGCTGTGGGGCGAGCAGCGGGACTGGCCATGCCCGGGGTCTCCAGGGAAGGAAATGTCTCCTCCCTGCCCCGTCCAAACGGTCTTTGAATCCCAAGGAACTCCTGGGTCCTGGCCCTGGAGGTGACCTGCAGCTGGGTCTCAGAGCTGAGGTAGGGCCCCATGGACGTCCCTCCATGGTGTCCCACAGTGGGAGATGAGGAATGTGCAATGGCCACATCCGTAGGGCCAGCCATGTCCCCAAGGCCGCCCACCTCCCCGAGACTGGTCATGTCCCCGTGGCTGTTGCCACCCCCATGGTCTGGGGTTTCCCCCCGACCTGGGCCCCGCGAGCTGCTCTGCTTGGATGGAGGGTCTATACCAGGGCATGGGGTCACACACTGTCCTGCTGTGTCCCCTAGCCTGGACACCAAGTCCGTGTCAGAACCTCACCTGAAGAGGAGTATCGCGGTCAACACTGCAGAGAGCAGAGATGGAGAGGGGGGAAGGCCTTGTCCATGCCTCCCATGTGGCCTTGCCTCTGTGCCAGGCGCCCTGTGGTGTCCCCTGAGTCCCCAACAGGGCGCCCGGTCACACACCTTGTGCCTCAGGAGCAGCCTGGGCAGGAAGCTGCTCTGCACCACAGCGGAGCCTGAGCCTGGCACCGTGCGGCCAAATCCCTCTCCCTGTCCCCGTTCCAGAGTCAGGAGGAGGCCGGGAGGGGAGCCGGGGCCCAGGGCGATGGCTCCTTCCACTCTGCCTGCAGGTGCTCGAGGATCCGAGCAGGAGCCTGTGGTGGTGCCGCCCGCAGCAGCCGCGCGCGG